CCAGTGGGGCAGTGTAACTGATACCATTTATTGTATCTGATTTCAAGCTCAGATTGCTTCAAGGTGAATTGCTTCCAGGGTTGTTTCAGTGTTTCTTCATGTAGGAAAGATTCCCAGCAAACTTACCTTTATACTGATGAAAGAGAACTTCAGTCCTGTTGGAGTGATTTCTTTACTCCTTCCCAGAACAGAATTTGAAAAATTTCAGTTGTATAAAATTGAAGCTAGTCCAGAGGAGGCCATGAAGATGATCTGAGGGCTGAAGCACCTCTCCTATAAAGACAGGCTGAGAGAGTTGGGGCTGTTCAGACTGGAGAAGAGAAGGCTCCGCGGTGATCTTATAGCAGCCTTCCAGTACTTAAAGGGGGCCCACAGGAAAGCTGGAGAGGGACTTTTTATAGGGTATGTAGTGATAGGACAAGGGGCAATGGCTTTAAACTGAAAGAGGGCAGATTTGGATTAGATGTAAGGAAGAAATTCTTCCCTCTGAGTTTTGTGAACCACTGGAACAGGTTTTCCAGAGAAGCTGTGGATGCCCCATCTCTGGAAGTGTTCAAGGCCAGGTTGGATGAGGCTTTGAGCAACAAAATAATTAAAAAATAAAGACTGTGAAAAAGAGCAAGTTGGTATTCTGTAGACTTAACAGAAAACATTACTTACAGCTTATAACATTTTCACAAACTTTCTGTGGCTCCTCTGACATTGAATGCTGTTTCCTTTAAACTCTTTGGCCTGGAGTAACACTGTGTTCACAGTAGTGTGCTCACTTTCTTCTCCCTTTTATCCTGTGTTATTGATTCAATTTGAATTTATGAAATATATCTTAGAAATATGGAGATAAGGAAACATTAGATTTTTCCAAAGCAGGGATGATGTAAGAGAAAATAATTATTGTTTAAAATCTTGAGAAGTGAAGAGGAAAAATGATCTGCTGTTGTCTTCTGCTTTGCTGTTTCCTTAAAGCTGATACACCTATGCAATCTATCTATTTATTTCTTCTGCATTTGCTGGTTATTTATAGACTATTCTAAAACTGGTAGGACTGATGAAATGGCTATCCTTATCCCTTCAACTGTGAGTTTCCATGCTATGATGTAATTTTTTTTTTTTATATTGAAGTGTATTGGGAAGAATATATAGTCCACTTATTTGTGATAAAAGCTGTTATGTTTGGTGGTGTTTTAGAACATCACTCTAGAATCCACGGTTAAGAAAGACTTATTTTAGAGAGGAGAATTGAAGGGAGAAAACCATTTTCTTTCACAGATATGTAGGTAATTTTCCTACATAAGAAATTTTCATACAGAGTTAAAGTAAGTGTAAGTATTCATTTAGTCTATTATAGAAGAACAAAACTAAGTCCACTGTTTAGGTCTTTGGGCAATAGCTATAGACAATTTGTAGAGAGAAATAAAGACCCTATTGGAAAAATGTCCCTTCACCAAAACTTTTTTTAAAAAATAAGCCTTTGATTAGAGGGAGTTTTGTGTTTCACTTTTTATAGAGAAACTTGCAATGCTTTGATAGTGAATACACTGTGAGGTATATTGACTAGCCTTTGACAGCATGCATTTTCAGGGACTTTTCTAGTGCATTTGCTGAGAGTAGACATTGCCAAATCATTGAATTTAACATAACTGCTCTTGGGATTAATCTGCTTTTTGGGCTTTCATATTACTTTTGGAATGCTTCTAATTGTGTGTTAAAGTATCTTTGTCAAATTTCTAGATATTGTTTTTCTTTGTCAACTCAGATAGGACTTCAAAGCATATCTCCTCATGTTAGGATTTAATGTTGTTTTTATTTTCCGGTACCTTCCTTGTTGCAAAGGTTTTTAAATCCGTGGAAATGCTGTATGTGAAGGGTAACAGCCAATGGCTTGACATATAGGTAGCAACAGGTGAAAACTGAATGTCCCAGGGATTGATACTGAGACCCATATCATTCAATATCTTCATCAACAATGTAGACAAAAATGTGAGCAATGGTATAAAATGCACATTCTGTGAATCTGTTGATGACAGTAAATTAAGAGTGGCTGGCACACTCCTTGATGGAGCTTTAGTCCAGACAGGTCTTGAAAACCTTGAGGGCTAAAGCAACAGAAAGTTCACTAAATTTCCACATCCAGGACAAGGTAACCCCATGCACCAGTACAGACTGAATACCAGCTGTCTGGGTAGCAGCCCTTCTGGGAAGAACCTGCGGGGTGATAGTGAACATCAAGTTGAACATGAGTCAACAGCTTGGTCTCATAATATTAAAGCAAAACTCACAGTTTTGCAGAAATGTGGCTGGCAGACTGAAGTAAGTTGTCATGCCCTTCTACTTGGTGTTGTTGAGCCAAATCTGGAACACTTCATCCAGTTTCAAGTCCTTCAGTTCCATGGAAAATCTGAGAAACTGGAAAGGTTTAGCTGAAAGCTACTGAGAGCTGAGGGCACTGGAGCACATGATCTGTCAGAAGAGGTTGAGAGAGATTGCTTAGTTTTACTGGTCTGAAGAAGAGGCTAAGTTTAGATAGCAGACTACAACTGCTGTAGGACAGTTACAATGGTGATAGAACCAAATTTTTTTTAGTAGTGCTGGGTAGAATAAAGAAGCTCAAGAACTGCAAATTGTTGCTCAGTGGTTTCAAGTAGGACATTAGAAATCTTTTTGGCAAATGCAACACTGGAGCAGGTTGTCCAGAGAAGACATAAAATCTCTGTCCTTGGAGATTTTCAAGACTTCGTTAGAGAAAGCCATAGCTGACTTTATCTAGTGTTGGCAATAGTCCTCTTTTAAGCTGAAGTTTAGGTCAGAGATGTCTAGAGGGAAGGTTGTTGGAGAGGGATGTCAAGCAACAGTTCTTCAAGCCTACACATTTCCATGTAAAATTTCAAGAAAATTTTGTCATAGAGAAGCTCAATCTGTTTGATACCCACTTAAATTTAAATTATTTATCTGGAAATACCCAACTGGTAAATTCTGTCTCGCAAACAAAGACACAAATAATTACAGAATTTAAATCATATTGCATAAAAAGTTAGACTTTTAAATTATTTGAATAAATTATCTCTTAATATGTGAAAAATTTAAACCTGAATTGCCTTTCTAAAACATTTAGTAAAATTACACAAGGAATTATAAGACTACCATTTCTAGGATGTATTATGTGAGAAGTGTCCTGTGCTATGCAGAAGTTCAGATTAGATGATCCTGGTGGTGCCTTCTGACTTCAAAAGTATGCTTGAATTAATTCAGAGGCAAAACAGATCTCTGTTATGGTTATGCTAGATGAGGGTTGAAGTTACGACATGCATTGTGAAAATTATTTTTAAAGGATACAAAATCAATCTGGACTTAATTAATGTGTTGATGAAAGAGATTGACTGAAAATTTTTGCTTATCTGAAATGACAACTCCACAAAATATAGTCAAGATACCAAAAGCATGCATAGAAAAACTGAAAAACGCTGAAGTAGAGCATTTTCTATCCTGGTAACTAAGAGTCAGAATACAGTAGAAATGATTGACTGAATAGAGAAGAGAAGAAAAGAAAGAAAGAATATCTAGGTATGTTTCTGCGCAGTTAGTAGATCAGTTCACAACTAAATTGATCATATTGACTGTCAACAAGATCTCATAATTGATGGATTGGACTGTCATGGAAGAGTGACCTAAAAGGCAGAGAATAGAGGAAGAAACTGCATTTGAAGTACCGATTTTTTTTTTTTTATTTTCTGATTTGAGAAACTGCTTGGACCAAATACTGGTTATATAGCCTGTGTCCAAATACTCGTATCAACAACCTTGTTGTCTTACATTAAATCTGATTAAAGAATGCTACGATTTCAATTTCATCAAAATTTGTGTGTATGTGTGTGGTTTTGTCTTTGTTTTTGTCTTTAATGCGAACACACCTGTTATTCTTTGGAAGATAGTTACATTCCTTTCCTTGATTTTTAAGACAACCTACTTTGCTTGTTTGAGAGACTTGAGTAAGCTGTCTGCTTCAATATATGATAATCGTTCTCTTTAACTACTGCTTCCTTCCTCCGATACGTGAAGGATTTAATCTCCTCTAGAGACTAGATCCCTACCTTGTGAAAATCAGCCCTGCTCTGATGAAGTAAACAAAACTCAAACATGTACTCAAACCTAACCATGAACTTCAGTGGTCCTTTAACCACGATTCAATTAGGGCATAGTATATACGTGGAAGGGAGGGTGTGCATAATATTTATGATTTCATACCTTGACTTTTTTTGAGATACAATCTTTTGGTTTACACTAGACTTTGCGTGAAATACATTCTTAAATCTAGTAGTGAACATTTTAAACTGTTTTTCTTGAATGACCTCTACTTTAGTCTAATTTCCTTTCTTCTCCTGTAGATGTTCAGAAGTATAAAATATCAATCATAGATTAACAGTGGAAAAAAAATGAAACAGGCATATTTACCACTTAATTATTACAGTATCTTGGATGTCTGTGTGGGAAGGGGCACTTCAGTGCTCCTCTCTGTCTGGTATGTCCTCAACGTGATGGAGTTTATTCGTTTCACTAATGCTAATGCTCCCATTTTAAAAGCACACAGGTTTAGTTCTGCTCAGTTCTGCAGAACACATTGGCCTTGGTCTAGGAGAACGTTTTACTTGTCTGGTCGTCTGTAAACATGTAGGCAGACTACTCATGTGCTTCAGTTTAAATGCGTACCTCTATCAGGGCAAGAGTGCTCAGCGCTTTTCGTAACTCAGCCCTGGTCACTGTTGTAGGTGAACGGTGTGCAGGCAGGTTTTGAAAATAAGAATTGACATGCTCCTCTGGGAAATTTAACTCACGAGACTAATAACCAATCTGTGGTTTATATTTCTTCATCTTAACTTGTTCAATACATGTTTATTATGGGAGAGTTACTTCAAGGTTATGGCAGGGCTACTTTGCTGCTATAATTTCTGTTGTGGAATGCAGTTGTTGGAATAAGGTACATCATGTACTTCTACTCTTTTTGTCAGAGAGCAGAAAGACAAACACGAATGATGGACTCGGTCCAGTATGCAGAATTTTGTGAAAGTCGGCAACTGAGTTTTTGTAAGTATAATAATGACTGTACTGTATTAAGATGTTCAATTATTATTTCATGTAATAGAGAACACAGCAGGACCTCATGTTTTTTTGAAAGCACTTTTGTTTCATCTGCAATAATAAAACTTGAAATTCTTTGTCTGCATAACTCCTGGGAACAGTTAATTTAGCATAGTTTCAGGCCGTCCGGCAGCATATTTTATTTGAATATTTACCAAGCTTTCTGCATGCTCAAATTCTGTGCTGGTGGGGACAACTGCAAAGATTGAACTGGTAAAGAGTTAATGGATTAACACCCATACTTGCCTGAAGTCTGCAAAGTTTCACGGTTGCAGGTTTTTTGGAATGTATCTAAAATTAGAGAAGAGCATCAAGTTTTGCTTTTATTTCCCTATCCGCAGAGACACAAAGAACTTACTAAAGAGTCTTTTCTATTTTAAGCTGTAAGCTCCTGCTGTGGAATTTTTTCAACATTAGCCAAATTCATCAGTATAAGCCATTCCAACACTAATAACATGATGACAGAATTAGGGCTTTACTAGCACTGAAAACCAACTTACTAGAAGTACTTGTGGGCCACAACTATAATGAGCTGTAAATTAATGGGCTTGATCATGTAGCAAAACATCATTACAGAAGCGGTTAAGTGATGACTAAGGTTTTAGGTCAAATGTCAGAGAAAGTGAGGTGAAGGAGCCAGTAAAAATCATGACAAAACAGCACATGATCCTACAACAGACTTGAGCACAATAGTGTCTTTAAATGAGAGACCTTATCTTGTTCTTCCTTTTAAATTCGAAGAAAGAGTGACTCATTTATGGCAAATAAATGACACATTTGAAATACTGTTCTGTATCAGCAAATGTCAGCAAATGTAGGAAAACATGTTTTGTAAGCCTTTCTTTTCCTAATTCAATATGTTTTGTAAGCTTAGTTATGATTTGGCATCACACATCTGTGAGCCATTAGATAAATGATACTTCAGATTAGGGTGACTTCAGCAAATGAGAGGTTTGTGATAAAGTCATTTTTAAAACCCAAAAATTACAACCTGGACATAGAACAAATACAAATCTTAAATTTGCAAAATAAAATTGAATGTTGCTGACCAGGGAATTGTGTTCTATAAAAATATCTCAATGGTATTTTCACAGTGTTTTTAAATGACCATGTCTACACAGTTCTTTTTCACTGTCATTTAATGTCATTAAAGAATAAGAGAATTACAGTGCTTAGAAAATAGTAGCAAGAGAGACTCATGCACAAATTCAATTGCATAATATGAACTCAGCCAGATAGAATATACTAAAGGCCATGCAGAGCATTTGTTCAAAACTAGCACAAAGGCTATTACTTATTTTGTTATATTTTAGTAAAAATTGAATGTATTGCTGTGTAAAAAGTAGTAAACCCTTTTTAATGAACTATAAACCTATGAAAACTGTGTCACAAGGGAATAAACCTGGAAGGGATTTCAAGAAGCTTTTCTAACAATATATATTCATAATTACAGCTCCACATATTTCTGTGCAGTTTGAAGGACAGGTGAAAGAAAAGGCCCATCAAAGGATCAAATACTACAAGACTACAAATTTAAATTCTAGAGAACATTTTGCAATCCTGCTGTCACCTTCATACTTTTTCTCTTGCCCTTTTTTTTTTATGTCTTCAGCAATCCCATGTAGCTTTTTCAGTCCCTCCTGAAAAAATAGCCATTATGTACACCCATTTTCTGTTTAATACCTGACTTATCTTTAGCTTTTTAGCCCTCAGTGAAGACTCTCTTTGAAAGAGCTATTTCAAATGATTCTCCCACTTGGTGTTTACTTCATTTTGTTGTCCTGTCTTCACAGGCAGCCCTCATTAAATCTTTATTTTACGCGCTCCTTTCTGTCCAAGTCTCCACAGCTTTTTGTGGTCACCTTGCCCACCACTGACCTAAGTAAGATCATCCTTTTTTCTTTCCCTTTACTCTCTTAGCAAATATCATGTTTCTTTGTCCCATGTTTTTCTTTGTACTTTCTCCTAAGTGATCTCATCCATTAGCAGTGTGAAGTTCTTGTGTGAATGCTGATCATTTGCAGATCTACATTTGTCCTTATTTCTTTATATCCAAAGCACATTTTAAAAACACTGATCTACAAATCATCTTGGCTACTTTGTCAGCACCTAATCCCTGCATGGTTAACACAAGGACTTCCTAGTTCTTCTTTCCTTCTTCATTAATTTTCACTATTGTTACTACAATTATATCATTTTATATGGACTCGGATTTGTTTTGATTTCTTCTAGTGCTTTCTGTCATTCATAAAAGATGTGAAGCAATCATATTATTTCTTTTACAATAATACATTCAAAATCAAGGTTGTCCTGTCTACAGTCCTCTGGGGTGGACCTTTTCTTGTTCTGAAATCTCCCGTATGATTGAATAACTGAGTGTTTTTCTCTTTCCTCCATGCTACTTATGGGTCTCCAGAATCTTATATTTGAAATCATAGAATCATAGAATAGTTTGGGTTGGTAGGGACCTTAAAGTTCATCCAGTTCCAGCCCTTCTGCCAGGGACAGGGACACCTTCCACTACACCAGGTTGCTCAAAGCCTCATCCAACCTGGCCTTGAACACTTCCAGGGATGGGGCAGCCACAGCTTCTCTGGGCAACCTGTTCCAGTGCCTCACTACCCTCAGAGTGAAGAATTTCTTCCTTAGATCTAATCTAAACCTACCCTTTTTCAGTTTAAAGCCATTGCCCCTTGTCCTATCACTACACGCCCTTGTCAAAAGTCCCTCTCCAGCTTTCCTGTAGCCTCTTTAGGTACTGGAAGGCTGCTAGAAGGTCTCCCCAGAGCCTTCCTTTCTCCAGGCTGAACAACCCACTCCAGGCTGAGCAACCCCTAGCATAAATAACAGTCTTTTCTCCACTAATTCCATGTTGATAACTCCATCCTTGGCCAATCCAATGAGTCACACTCCTTGTTTCACATTTGTAGTATTTTCTGTGACTGTAAAAAAAGCATTATTTTGGCCTACCTGTTGTTAACTTTTACTTTTCCCTCTATGATTTTAACTGACAGCAAAGAAAGCATCCAAGTTTCGTGACTGGTTGGACTGCAGCAGTATGGAAATAAAGCCAAATGCAGTCGCCATGGAGATTTTGGCATATTTAGCGTATGAGACTGTGGCACAGGTAAGGGAGTATACTGATCAAACTGTAGTTAATCAAAATGAATTATTTGCTCTGCGATGTACTTCAGCCTCAGGTGACTGTTTTGTAAACCCCTTCAGCAGTCACTGCTTCGGCTAATCAAGCTGACTGGATTCCTGTCTGTCTTTCAAATTACTGTATGAGAGATGTGTAGTATACCATATTCATCTATCTTATATGCAAATAGAATTTTTTTATAATGGTTACAGAGGAGAGTGGAGTCCAGCACGAACTTTATTCATGTCCAAACTAAAACCGCATACTTCGCTATGTGACCTTTGGCAGTGTGCTGAGGCTCATTCAACCCCATTGCACAATTGGATTAAAAAGCAGGATTTCCTGGAAAACAAAACGTTACCTTAGTGCCAAGCCGAGCCCTCTTGGGTAGATAGATTACTCCATATATTTACAGAAGTGGAAAAGAAAGGTTCCTTAGGCTGAAATATCTCTGAATAATTTTGTTTTCAACTGAGAAACACGAGGAATAATCTGCCTCAACCCACGACTCCTCTTTCCCTTCATTGTTACGATGGCATTCGTAGTAAGTACTGTGTCAGTAAACCTACCTGTTTGTCGTCTGGTTTTGCCCCTCTAGTTGGTGGACTTGGCTCTTTTGGTTAAGCAGGACATGGCTCCCAAAGCTGGTGACCCATTCAGTCATGCCATATCTGCCACCTTCATACAGTATCACAACTCTACGGAGGTAAAGCTTGCTTTTTCTCATAATAATGCATTTTTTGTTTAACTTTTACATATATTTGGTAGTTTGTTGCTTTCGAACAAGATGGTATTGCATCTGTTATTGATACAGACTTCTGTTATGGAGTTTATGAACATTGAAGTTACAGATTTAGACAGAAAGACATTAAATTACAGCTCCAAATGTTAAATTCTTAGCAGAATAATAATTTATATTTAAGTGTAAGTCCTCTTTTCTTGGGTGGGAATTCCTTCTCTCTATATTGAAGTCTTTCTTGCAGATTTGGAGATTAAAGTTGTCAACAGTGGCAAGTGCAATAAGTGCTGTATCGCATGCATTGCTATGATACAGATATTATAGTAACCTATAGAATGAGCAAACTGAATTCTGTATTGCATCTCTTCTAACAGTAAATCTAAGAAGAAAATATTTTTTTATATTTGTGTGATGGCTGTTTAACATCTTGCTTTTACAGCCGCATCTCTTAGGGCAATCTACAAGTGTGAAGCCCAGTCTTGACTCTCCTGAAAACACACCACCTCCTACACCTACACCCCCAGCATCAACAGGACAGCAGCATCTTGGGAAAACCCCATCAGGAACCTTGGGGAATGGTGGAATTGGACAAGACTCTACCAAATCCAAACAAAGGAAAAGAAAAAAGGTATTTGATGCCCAAGCCTGGGAAAGAAAAAAAAAAAAAAAAAAGGAAAAATAAATCAAAATGTCTTCAGGAAATAAAGTGTCTCATTTTAAATATTAATTTTAACTTGTGTCACATGTTAACTACCAATGTGATTGTAAGGCCAAATGTATGGTTTCGTGTTTTTTCTCAGAACTAGGCTAAAGCTTCTCAGTAATGCCTGCAAACTGAATTTTGTTGAGGTAACAATGGCCCCTTCTAAGACGAGCTGCTCCACTGCAGCCACAGCAGTAGATACCAGTCCAAATAATCATCCCTTTCTCTGACAGTAGCAGCTAGTGTAGGTTTAGAAGGTCAAAGCATAAGCAAAGAGGTGGTTGTGATTTTCCTGCTCCCAGCAGCCTTAAGCGACTGCCTTCTTTGCCTATAACAACTTCACCTGACCTTATTTTTATGCCAGTTGGTTGATTCAATCTAAATATTTGTTTACTTTGCATAAAGTATAGATGTCTCATATTCGGTGTGAAATGTAAATATTACAATTCCTGTCTTCTGTTGTAGAGCCTCGGTATTCTATCTGAGAGGGATATATATACCTTAAAACCACAAGGGAAATGGATTTGATTAAATAAATTGGATAGGAAGCCCTGCGTTAGTCACTTAGGGCTTTTTTGAAAAAATGCGATGGCAGTACTCATTTTGCTGCAAAGCAATGGAGTGACTTGTGATTTTTCTCGTGTGTTATTATCCTGAAACAAATACTCATTTTTCACAGAGTTAAACCAATTGTTTTGACAACGGCAGATAGAAAAAGATGTATTTTCTCCTTCTAGTGTCATCAGGGCTGTGGATACTCCTAATATGTTCAACTTCCTCTCTGCCCTTACTATACTCCATTTAGAAAGCCTTTAGTGAATCCTAAAAAACCTTCTGAAGACTTTTGCTTTTTTCTCTTCCTTTTTTATATTACTTTCGACTACATTTTGTTTCTGTGACTGATTTCCATTATATTTCTTAGGAACAAGAATTTAGCTGGAGATATATTTTTTTGATACAGTATATTTCACTAACGTGGTAGTTTATTTTAAATTCTTAGTGTTTGACTTAATGACTTTTAAAATAATTATATTCTAAAAAGTGCACAACTTTAATGAAATCTTCCTATGACTTATCCAATTTGTTTAGGTATATACCAGATATAACTGAGTCATTGAGACAAACGAGTTAACTTCGTGAAGAATGTTATTCTTAGTCCGTGAAGGCTGAGTCCAGCAGAAAATACTTGAGTTTCATATTCCCTTTATGAACGTCAATCAGCAAGGGAAGAATCTGCCATCGTATTATGAATAATTCTGTGTGTACACACACAGGCTCCAGTGGACTCAGCACTCTTGAAAATAAAACATTTGGTAAAAAAATATCCCAAATTTGAAAGCATTAGTATGTAGTATAAATATATGAGGGGACCGTGTATGTCTGTAGATTAAACTTCTGTGAGTAATTTAAGTTTTTGTCATTCTTAGTGCATTCACTAATAACGTTTTCATGAGTTTATTACCAAGCAACCATCATTCTGATAAGTCGTCTGAGTTCTGGCAAGCAGCCATGTCTAGGTGGAGCCTAAACCAACATTTCAGCTTGACTAGCAAGGAGAAGAGAGTAACGTTTTCTTTTAAAATCCTGCAGATATTTTTGTAAAATCAATAGATCAGTAGCAGTGAATTCTTCTCTTTCCTATTTAAGATCCTTAATTCAAAAAGTAATTTGAAATTTGAAAACATTCTAATTTGAGGTAATTAAAATATTTTTGCATCCCTCTAACACTATTATGTCACGTGTTTTGTCTTCAAATTTCAATCTGATATTACTCAATGGTGATTTTGGTGTCAAATTGCTTTCCACTTTGAGTACTTGTTCAATATTTTCCCCACCCCTTGACATCATAATGAGAGCCTGAAATGTTTTGAAAATAGTTTCTGTGGTTATTGCAAAATGACTTATATGACCCTTTCAGTTTAGTTTGAACATTTTCTGCTCTTTTCAATTGCAACATACAGCAGCATTAGGTGAAAGATTTAAGAGGACAAATATGGTGTTCTTTGGGTCTCTTAAGCAAAGTTCATGTAAAAGTCCTCTTTGATTTGTTAATAGCTTTTTTCTCTAGTGTGTGGCAGCAATGATGTGTATCCTCTGGAAAAAAAAAAATGATCCATTTTATAAAGGTTTATTTTCATACTTTATGCACTGTAGGTCTGTTGTGTGTTTTTGATTTAGTAACAATTTATGTGTTTTTCTGTTGCAGAGCACTGCAGCCTGTGGTATAGAGGCTCAAAGCGATGCCATCCAGCCTAGCCACATCAGAGAGGCCATTCGACGCTATGGCCACAAGATTGGCCCCCTTTCCCCATTCACAGTACGTAATAACAGAGTTATAAAAAGTTATATTTATAATCTTAAAGAACTTTGATTTTCAAGTGGTCAAATGAAGAAGCTTTGGAATTGTTGAGAGCAATTTGTGGTGACTGTAATTTTCTTTATAAAAGTGGCATAATGCTCTTGGGAAATAAAACTTAGCAATTTCTGTCTCTTTTTGGAAAGACAAAAAAGTTTTTTTTCTGTTAAATATTATTTTCTTTCAATTACAAATTATGCTTTTTTGTTAGTGCTTGAATTTTCTGTTTTTGCAAAGTTTAGGTTTACAGTTATTTTAAATTATATGTATTCCAATATGATGAGGAGCACTTTATATTCTAAAATTAGTTGTGTGTCAGATACTGTTCCTATTGGAAGTTGAACTCTCAAGTGACACATTTACAGTTGGAGAAAGAAGAGCATGGTTTGTTTAGACAACTTTGAACCTCCGCTAAAATGTAATAGAACTGAGCTTGTGGTGAAACACTGATGGGTTACGAGGTTTTGCTATCATTTTTTTTCTATGTAAATTGCAAATCCATTGTTCAGAGCAGCCAAACGAATTCTTTATTTCATTTTCTCAGCTGATAAAAATGTGAAAGTAGCCTGACTCCAATGTCATAAATTGGGGTCATTTTCTTCTGATCTGCTGTTCTGTGTGGAATATACCCTTGCTTACCTCAGAATATCTACATTTGGGAACGTATGAATGTCAAAGAAATCATTATAGGGAAAAAAAAAAAAACAACAAAAAACCCACCAAGCTAGATCGAGCTCCTAAAAATCAGGAAGAAATTGTCCATTTTTGGAGGCATTTTAGGGAAGAAAAATGATTCTAAATTTGGAGGAAATTCATCTACATAAAAATTATGCAGAAGAATACAAAGACCATAAATATCAAGGAAATAATGGGACTTAACTCAGAAGTGAGGAACAAGAGAAAATAGGAGTAAATGAGTATATGAAGTTATAATTTTCCTAGTGTCAAAACTGATAATCATTTTTATTAATGGCAGTAAATGTTTGGTTTATTAATGATGGTTGGTACATATTTGCATTGAATTATCTGTAGATGATTTTACTTCTCTCTTTTGCTGCTTACAAATGCTAGATTAATGTCACGTAAAGTGTAGGATAGAATTTCTAGTCCAAAGGAGAGAAGTGTCTTTAGCAGAAGTTTGCCAAGAGATATAGCTAAGAACATGGCAATAGCTTCTGAAAGCAGAGGACATATTTAATTTTATTATAAAGAAGTAAAGAGCTCACATAAACAATTACAGACAGGTAAGTCTTCCTTCCCTGACCTTCACTAAAAGTGGTTTTGTTAATTATTAACCAAAGTTTGCAATTTCTCTGCAACCACAAGATATAATAAAATACTCTGTTTTTGGGTTGTTTTTTTTTTATGTCCAGCAACCTTGTGAACTTCCCAAACAGTACAACTAAATCAACAATTTAATTTGTTGACATTACCTACTGTCAACGTGGTTGATGGGATGAGCAGATCTTGTTCTTTCTAAACAAGCCAAGAATGAGAGAGGGAATCTTGGGTCACCTTCTAGATGAATACAGGTGATGTACAGCTGTAGTACAATTCCTTTTTTAATGAGAGAGTTCAGGAAAAGTATTTTGAGAGATATTATAGAACATGCATTTAGGTCCACCAGTCTTCCCACTTGTCCTGTCAGTGCCCTCATGAGCAGTTTTGAGGATAAACTTTGCTATCACAGTTGTCCCTAACTGTGAGTTCCTTAAAGGTGCACAAAGTGTGAAGGTAGATTGATGCTTCCTTTGACCCTACCTTTTCATATTGCCAGACTCTCACACTGTTTTATTAAAAATATTGTCTCTAGGCATTTTGAACAGTGCTGTGACACTTCTTTTGAATGACTTCTGCTTTCTCCTGTTGCCACTGCCTTCACAATAGTTTCTTTGTGTATCTGCATGACCTTCTAGATGGGATGACAGAACCAGGAGGAAAGGTGTATTTACTCGATGTGCATCTTGTGATTCTGTGGGGACACTTTAAAAAATGCAGAGAGGGAAATATTTAATGGGTATCTGTCATTAGATTCAGAACAGCTTTCAGCTGTTTCCACCCTTAAAACTATCCTAAAGCTTATGTAGAAAAGTTAGGAATATACATTTGCATATCATCTCTGCCATTTCTCTGAAGCCTGTTGATCATCTTTCCACGTCAAAATCTGATTTTATAGTCAATAGGTGCCCTGATAGAGTCTGCTGTAAGTGAGGAGAGAGGATTTTTCTGCATGTCCAGGTGTTTTACGCTGAGTTTTCTGATGGCAGTTTACTGTTCGTGTTAGCAGTCCTATTACCGAAACAAGGAAAAGAACAAAGAAAGAACCATTTTTATGAGCTATATACATGTTCATTTCAGTTCCTAAAATGTATAGATTAAGCTGAACTTTAAGTGAAAGACATAGTTCTACATTCTTAAAATAATAACAAGAAAAAAGTGCAAGTCTGCTAGTGCCAGAATGCTATATTACTGCAGTATAAGTTTATGTTACTTGTACAGGAAGAATATAGAATCAGTCCTAGAAACCTAACTATGTACTTATCTATACCCAATAACATGACATGTGTTAGGAACATACAGGAAATCTCATACGAGGAATAAAAGGTGAAATAAGTTATCCGAAGTACTCAACAACAGTTTTTTTTGAAAACGAGAGCATGTTACTGCTCTGGAGAAAATATTTGGGGAAAAAAAAGGAACCACTTTAGACACTTTCCTGTCTTCCAAAGTAATATTACATGAACTTTAGCACAGTACAGTTATTGGGACTTAATAAATGATTTTAATTTTGTAGGCCTATGCTATTCTGAAATTTTTTTGGATATGTAACTATTGAGCAGCAAGGGGAATTTACAGAATAATTTTGCCCTGTTGTAAACTGGTAAAAAATAACAAACAACTCTGGACTATTTTTTAATTTTCAGTATTTTCCATCTCATTCCAGACAATCATACGAGGCAGAGAGCAAATATTTTCTTTTTCATTTGGGAGATTATTTTTAATTTAGCTAGAGTTGGTTTTTGGCTTTTTGCCATGCTGCCTAGTATGAGGCATTCAGTAGTCTCCCCAAAATTCACTGTGTATCATTTTTAATGTTTAGGATTTAACAGTATTGGGTTTTGAAAGACTATGTCGTATGTACAAATGGGTTTAGTTTAAATCAGTAGTACATCTGGAGAAATGAATAAAAATCTGGACTTGCAAAGTATCTGATAATATTTCCCCATTTAAAATTGCAAGAGACTATAGAAATCAATGTTCTCTGTATGAGAAATCCTATCCAGATGATTGTATTTAAAACCAAAACCAGACAAGAATATTCTTAACTGCCCTTGATATTAAAATACAGATTTTGTCAATTTCCTTCTTTCTTTTTTTTTTTTCTCTCCTTGCATTATAATTTTTCATCTTTTTTTTTTCCTCACCCTCTTACTGTTTCTTACCTCTGATGAGCCAGGACTTCTCAACTTTTAAAGCTAATTTCTGCATTGTCTGGAAACTCCATGGCATTACAAGAAGGGATCTGCCTTGCTTTAAGACTTGATTAACATGTTTTTCAGTGGTGACTCGTTCATATTTTACCGAGTTACTTGCCTGTGCACACCTGAAGCTAATTCTCCAGAAAAGCCTCTGTGTTTGAATCACTCGCCATGGAGACTGTGATGTAGGAGATCTTGATTCTATTCAGCTGAATAACCTTTACTTGTTTCCTTGGCGCAGTTCACAAGAGGATATGAACTGATAGGGGAGTCTTCTTCTGGTCTTTTATTTATCCTACCAGTACACAGCTTTCATTGTGGTGTGGGTTGTTTGGCTTTTCCTCAGACAGCTTCTCTATTCTTCAAAGTGATTGAGAGTGTAACAACCAGGTACACCAGATCAGAGGACCATGAGAACTTAATACATGTAGGTATTAGTTCTACTTTTGTCTTGGTAGTAAAGTGGTGTTTTCATTAAGAAACTTCCTTGTATTGGGGGCTTACTTTGGGATGAATGCATTCAATATGTGGTTCACCCGTAGGCAGGCTGAGTTCTTCCCTGATCACCATCAGTCGTGATTTCATATTGAAATGGAGGGGACAGAGTGAGTGGATCTCGTAGGTTCCATACTAGGAATTTCCAAAGTCAACCTTTCCATTTTAGATGTGAACAAGAAAGCAGTATCCAGAATCCCTCTCAGATATGTTTCTCTGGTGAAACTGTCTGATGTAGATCTTGACTTATGTTCCAGGTCCTCACATAGATGGGATTCAGAATGACAAGTTATTTCAATTTTAGGTATGACATCTCACAGCTTGGGCACCAGGTTGTTCTGTGTTAGAGTTCTCATAACTTATATCCGTTTCTTACACGTTATTGCTCCAAAGGATTAAAAGGAGTGAGTTTAGTTTTCTCTACTCTTTTGACTAACCTTTTTCATTCCTCAAGTCTGTCTTTTTAAAAAGGTGAAAGACTTTCCATGAGTAACATTGGGATGCAATTGGTGGCTGTCTGTCCGCATCACCCATCCTTGTGTAGGATAACACGTGACTGTTACATTTCTCTCCTCTAGTTAGAAAACCCATGCCCTAGTCGTTTTGGTTCAAATACTACTTTCTGAACACAGCAGGCCCTTGACAACTACCAGTCTGTTGGTTATTATATTGATCCATAAAAGTATCCCTTCTAGTGGCTTCAAAGAGATCTGGGGAGGATTTAGGTCCTTCTGATACGTTTTTTCCTTCAGACACCATGGAGAATAGCTCAGACTTCTGTCTAACGCTATATCAAGTTTTTTCACTATCTAGAAAATAAACAGTTAGCCTATGTCAAATAGTTCCTCTTACTGAGATGTGAAGAAATAACCACACCTGATTATATAAAAATCTACTGTAGGACTTTTAATCTCTATCTCCTCTTTGTCTGGTTAGACACATGCTGCCAGACCTCCACATCACTGAAGTGTGTTTGTTGTGGAGGTT